ACGTCTTCGGCCCGTCCAACCGCGCATGCTTCGGGAAGGCATTGCGATTGGAGCCGGATGTCGTGGCGGTGCGGTAGTGCCGGAAGCGGCAGCGGTGAGTCCCGACAGCAGCGATGTAAGTGCGGCAAGCTGTTCGGCGGGAATTGTCGGGGTGGCGCTCGTCGCGAGGGTTGACGACGTGTCCATGCAGCGGTAGCTCGATGGGCTTATAACCTATGAGATGATCACCACTACTGTCAGGAGAAGTCGAGAGTCGAACAGAAGTGATGTATTTCAGCGTACCTATGAGATGATCACCACTACTGTCAGGAGAAGTCGAGAGTCGAACAGAAGTGATGAGAAGGAAGCTAAGAAATGGAAAGGTGGCCCGCGCTGGGATATGCCCAGGCGCGGGCGAAATCGCTGGAGCGCTGAGGCAGTCGCGCGCGGCTAAGTCCCCACTGCAAGGGCGGGCTAGCGGCGCGCCGCCCGAAAACCGCCGGCGCCGGCGCGCTGAGGCACTCGCGCGCGCCTAAGTCCCCACCACAGGGGCCAGGCTAGCAGGCGCGCGCAACGACCGAGGCGCCCCTGTCGAGCTGAGAGTGGACTCTTCACATGCAGGACATCGCATCACCTTGGCCGCCATCCGTCCTTTGTACTGGTGGTCGTCCATGTCTGCCGATTGCGCCGAGTTCTGCCGTTCATGTGAAGACTGTACCCGAGGCAAGGCGTCCACTCAAGTCCCCTATGGCCGACTGCATCCGATGCCGATCCCTTCTGGTCCTTGGAACAAGTGGCCATCGACTTCATGACAGGACTGCCTCCGGTCGAGCTCGAAGGGATGATGGTTGCTCAAATCATGGTGGTCACTGACACTTGGGGCAAGATGGTCCACCTGATTCCCCTCCCAGCCGATGCCGACTCGGAGCTCGTTGCCGAGAAGTACTACGCCACCGTCTTCCGACTGCATGGGATGCCTTCCGCCATCGTTTCCGACCGTGATCCCAAGTTCACCTCGCAGTTTTGGCGGGCATTGCAGGCAAAGATTGGCACCGTCTTGCGAATGTCAACCGCGGCACACCCGGAGACGGACGGATCGAGCGAGAATCGGATCAAGATGGTCACCCAAACCCTGCGGATCATGGTCTCGTCAAACCACGAGGCTTGGGCATCTCGTCTTGTTGAAGCTGAGTTCGCTCTTAACTCTTCTGTTGCTGTGTCCACGTCGCTGTCGGCTTTTGAGGCAACCTACGGCTACCTTCCTCGATGCTGGCCCTCGGATTCCTGGTCTGTCTCGGACGTCCCTCGTGCGGAAGCGTTTGCTCGGATCCGACAATTACGGAACCTTGACGTGACGGATGCGATCATTGGAGCACGCCTCAACCAGTCCCATCAGGCCAACAAGCATCGACGCCCAGACGACCCCGCCTTTCGGACCGGCAGTTACGTCTATCTTTCGACAAAGAACCTGGCAGTTCCTGACGGCATGAAGTCGAAGTTGTTGCCGCGCTACATCGGCCCCTTCCGTATCCGAGCGGCCATCCCTGCGACGTCCAGCTACGACCTCGAGCTCCCTCCAGCGATGTCGCGAGTGCACAATCGTTTCCATGCTCGACTGCTTCGGCCTTGCGTTGAGAATGATGCTGAAAGGTTTCCTGGGCGTGACCCCGCAGTTCTTTTTGTCGAAGACGTAGCCGACGCGGCCGACAATTCTGCGATTCCGGAACGGATTGTTCGCGATCGGCGGAACGCTCGGGGCGCTCGTTCGTTCTTGGTTCGATGGGTAGGCCGTAACGACACCGACGATACTTGGATGTCAGAGCAGTCCATTCGCCTTGACCATCCGTCCGTCCTCGACGCCTACCTCGCGCGCCTCGATCGCTCGAACCGCCGCCTCGCCGCACGGTAGACTTCCTTCTGGGGGGACAGTGTCAGGATGACAGCGTGTACTCGAAGGAAGCCCCCCAAGGCTATGTGCGGGTAGAGTTGACTTGACCAGAGGCTTGCCTCGTTTCACAGCATCGTCGGTGCGATGGCGTAGTCGTGAGGCGCGCAGGCGCGCACTCGGTGGTCGCGGGTTCGAGGCGCCCAGACCGCAGTCTTTTTCGGTTTGTTTTATCTTTTGTTAACCGAGGCGCGGCTTCAGGGTTTTTACCGGTGCTCCCGCGAGCAATCCTTTTTACCCCTGAGGCGACCTCTTGGAGTGGTTGATTTGGCTAAGTCCCCTCTGGGCCTGGCACAGTCCCTTCCCTTTAGTTTTACCACCTTTCCCGGGAGCTTGGTCCGCTCTTCTCTTTTGTTGCCCCTCCTCTTCTTGTCGATCGTTTGGGAATTAAGTCCGTTACACTTGATTTCCTGCGAGCCTTTCGACCGACTCCCCTCCTCGGTTGCTCCCTTGTCGACTGCCGCCGCAACAGCCGACACTTCCTGAAATCCCCCCCCCCCGTACCAACGCGTGTAGACAACGTCATCCCCTCCGACGTCGCTTGTCAGACCCGGCTTGCCGATCCATCCAAGAACGAAAACCACTACTGCACAAAGTAGAGAGAGGAGAGGTGCGCAGCCTTCCACTGCGCAACAAGTTTCAAGACAGTCAGCTTCTGACCGGAAAGGAAGGACTTAACTCGGTCATCACACCTCCCAATCTCGAACCCCAGGCACAAAACCCGCTCGAGAGAGAAAATCTCGCTCGAACGCTCTGAGCGCACTGGGAAGCGAGGAGGGGCCACGACGTTGTCCAGCTCGAACCGCTGATGAACGCGCCAGCGGAGCAGGTGCAGCCGCTGGAAGCCGATCTGACAAGCGACGTCGGAGGGATGACGTCGTCTACACGCGTTGGTACGGGGGGATTTCAGGAAGTGTCGCTGTTGCGGCGGCAGTCGACAAGGAGCAACGAGGAGGGGAGTCGGTCGAAAGGCTCGCAGGAAATCAAGTGTAACGGACTTAATTCCCAAACGATCGACAAGAGAGGAGGGGCAACAAAAGAGAAGAGCGGACCAAGCTCCCAGGAAAGGTGGTAAACTAAAGGGAAGGGACTGTGCCAGGCCCAGAGGGACTTAGCCAAATCAACCACTCCAAGAGGTCGCCTCAGGGGTAAAAAGGATTGCTCGCGAGCACCGGTAAAAACCCTGAAGCCGCGCCTCGGCTAACAAAAGATAAAACAAACCGAAGAAGACTGCGGTCTGGGCGCCTCGAACCCGCGACCACCGAGTGCGCGCCTGCGCGCCTCACGACTACGCCATCGCACCGACGATGCTGTGAAACGAGGCAAGCCTCTGGTCAAGTCAACTCTACCCGCACATAGCCTTGGGGGCTTCCTTCGAGTACACGCTGTCATCCTGACACTGTCCCCCCAGAAGGAAGTCTACCGTGCGGCGAGGCGGCGTTCGAGCGATCGAGGCGCGCGAGGTAGGCGTCGAGGACGGACGGATGGTCAAGGCGAATGGACTGCTCTGACATCCAAGTATCGTCGGTGTCGTTACGGCCTACCCATCGAACCAAAACGAACGAGCGCCCCGAGCGTTCCGCCGATCGCGAACAATCCGTTCCGGAATCGCAGAATTGTCGGCTGCGTCGGCTACGTCTTCGACAAAAAGAACTGGGGTCACGCCCAGGAACCTTTCAGCATCATTCTCAACGCAAGGCCGAAGCAGTCGAGCATGGAAACGATTGTGCACTCGCGACATCGCTGGAGGGAGCTCGAGGTCGTAGCTGGACGTCGCAGGGATGGCCGCTCGGATACGGAAGGGCCGATGTACGGCAACAACTTCGACTTCATGCCGTCAGGAACTGCCAGGTTCTTTGTCGAAAGATAGACGTAACTGCCGGTCCGAAAGGCGGGTCGTCTGGGCGTCGATGCTGCCTGATGGGACTGGTTGAGGCGTGCTCCAATGATCGCATCCGTCACGTCAAGGTTCCGTAATTGTCGGATCCGAGCAAACGCTTCCGCACGAGGGACGTCCGAGACAGACCAGGAATCCGAGGGCCAACGTCGAGGAAGGTAGCCGTAGGTTGCCTCAAAAGCCGACAGCGACGTGGACACAGCAACAGAAGAGTTAAGAGCGAACTCAGCTTCAACAAGACGAGATGCCCAAGCCTCGTGGTTTGACGAGACCATGATCCGTATTCGATCAACTCTACTACGTCAGCGATGTAGTTATAGCCAAGAGTGATGAATGCATTTCAACATACCTATTCGATCAACTCTACTACGTCAGCGATGTAGTTATAGCCAAGAGTGATGAATAGGAAGCTAACAATAAGAGACCGCGCGCCCCAAGTCCACAGCCAGCGAGCCTGGGGCTGAGCCAATGGCCCAGGCTCGCTCCGCGCGCCTAAGTCCCAGGCTCGCTTCGCGCGCCTAAGTCCTGGGCCGGGGCGCCCGGCTCACTCCGCGCGCCTAAGTCCGCGCCCGGTTCGCTCCGCGCGCCTAAGTCCTGAGCCGAGCGGAGAGTGGATTCCTCACACCCCCCCCACGCGAACGCGAGGTAGACTTGAGCCGTGGATGTCGCGTCCGGAGGCCTAGAGCATAGCAATGTGTACCAAAAATCTTGGGGCCTAGCGCTTTGGTGAATACGTCCGCAACCATGTCTGCTGTGCCAACGTGTGAGAGAGAGATATCACCTCGATTGACCATGTCACGGACAAAATGCTCGCGGAGGCGAATGTGCCGGGTGCCGGAGGTGCGAACGGGGTCGTGAGCGACGGCGGCCGCGGCCTCGTTGTCGGTGAAGATGTGAGCTGCAGCGATTGGGCAAACGTGGAGCTCGGAGAGGAGTTGGTTAAGGTAGATCGCTTCCTTACCCGCGTGCGACAAGGCCAGGTACTCGGCATCAGTGGTGGAATCCGCTACCCGAGTCTGACGCTTCGACGACCAAGAGACAGCGGCGCCTGCCAAGTAAAATACGTAGCCCATCGTTGAAATGGATGTGTCGACGCAGGCGCCCCAGTTCGCATCAGAATAACCAACCACACCCGTGACTTTTGCTGGGCGCGGGCATAGAGAAGCTCATCGCGGTACGTGGCGCGAAGGTAGCGAAGGACGTGTTTGACGGCAATCCAATGGCGGCGGCCGGGGTTGTTGGCGAACCGGGACAGGTACGAGACGGCGAAGGCAATGTCGGGTCGAGTGCCAAGGGAGATGTAGAGGAGGGAGCCGATGGCCTGTAGGTACCACGAACGAATGCGCTCCGTTCCCTGACCCGGAATTGCCGTGAGCGAGAGGCCGGGCGTCATCGGCACCGTAGTGCCGCGTGTCGTGGTGTCGAAGTGGAAACGGGCCAGCACGTCCATGATGTAGCGCTCCTGGGATAGAGCAATGGAACCGTCGTCCAGGCGGCGTATTTGGATTCCGAGGATGTACTCCGCGGGGCCGAGTCGTTTGACGCCGTACCGCTGTTCAAGGCCGGAGATGACACGTTCGATCTCGTCGAGGGCTGGACTGACAATGAGGAGGTCGTCGACATACAAGGCGATATAGTGAGGCCGCTGCTGATCGTCAATGCGAGAGTAAATGCAGTGATCAGTGCCTGTTGCCTTGTACCCCAGATTCCTGAGTGATGTGTCAATGTGACGATTCCAGATGCGACCGGCCTGCTTGAGACCGTAGATTGAGCGTCGCAGCCGGAGAACCTTATCGCTCGGGAAGTCGAAACCGCGTGGTGTCGTCATCCAGATATCATGATCGAGCTCGCCGTGGAGGTAAGCCTTGTCGATGTCGGCCTGATGAACGTGGTAGCCATTGGCAGCGGCAAGAGCCAGGAGGCAGCGAATGGAGGAGAAACGGGCGACGGGTGCGAAGGTTTCTGAGAAGTCGATGCCGTCGCGCTGTCGGTTACCCTGCGCTACAAGACGTGCCTTCCGCCCCGTGACTTCACCGCTTGCGTTGCGCTTGGTCTTCCAGACGAATTTGGAGGTGACGATGGTGGCGCCCGGCGGTACAGATGAGCGAGGCTCGATGGTGAACACCTTGAAGTCGTCGCGCATGGCGGTGAACTCGGCGGCGGCGGCCTCAGCCCAGATGTTGTGCTCGTCGCTGGACATTGCTTCGCGCCAGGTCTGGGGGTCGCTAGTGATCGATTTGACGGGCTCGATGGCGTCGAGGGTGGGGTCGTCGTCGTCTGTGGCGATGAAGGCGCGGTGGTGTTGGGTGAGGAAATCGATTTCATCCGGCGATTCATCGCGCGAGTGACGCCCAATGATGTCGAGTTCGTCGGGCGACTCCTCAGCCGATGCGGGCTCACGGTACGTGCTGAAGTCTGGGCGGTGCACGTCCGGTGGGCCAAGGCGAGTCGGGGTCTGTGAGCCGATGAGGTCCAGAGGGTCGGCGGAGTAGTCAGAGTCGGTCGGTGAGACCGAGGGTGACGATGACGCTGCCAACGACGGTGACAGCGCAGGCGACGGTGACAAAGGGTTTGTGGGCGACGGTGACGAGGACGGCTCAGGAGACGGTGACGAGGACGATTCGGTATCTGTGGAATTAAGTAAGGTTCCGCCAGTGTACCCTGGGGCCACGTCAACGGCGCTCATGGCAGAATCATCAAGGGAGGATGAGACGTCCATGTGCGCCGACCTTACTAGTGGGGTCCTCGTCTTGACGGCAGGGGCGGGCGTGTCGGCGGGAACGACGAACTGACGGTCGGTGTCGTCTGCATCGACGGGCGTGGTGACTGGCAGGCCGGGGAAGTCGTCGTCGAGGAAGGTGGCATTGCGACCAAGTACAATCTTGTTGATGGAATGGTCAAAGAAACGGAAAGCTTTGGAGGCGAGGTCGTAACCTGTGAAGATCACGCGCGCGGCCTTGGGGTCGAGCTTGCTGCGAAGGTCCGGGGCGACCGTGAGCCAGGCTGTGCAGCCGAACGGGTGGAGGGCGGTGGCGGTGGTGCGTTGGCCGTTCCAAACGGATTCTGGAGTCTGTTTGGCCAAAGCTGAGTGTGAGCACCTGTTTTTGCAATAAACGAAATACGCAGCCGCTTCATCCCAAAAGGTGGCCGGCAGACGGGCGTCCGCAAGGAGAGCGAGGACGCCCTCGACGATGGAGAGGTTGACACGTTCGGCGCGACCGTTTTGTTGAGGCGTGTAAGGGATAGAGTATTGACGACGAATGCCCTTGGATTTGCAGAACTCCGTGAATGCGTTTGATCGGTACTCCCCGCCATTGTCGGTTCGAAGGATCCTCAACCGCGCGTTCGTCTCTAACTCCACTTCGGCGAGCCAAGTCTGGAAGGTCGGGAAAACATCGCTTTTGTGATCGATCGCATATGCCCAGAGTTTGCGAGAGTGGTCGTCTAGAAACGTGACAAGGTAGCGCTTCCCGGTCAAGGACGGAGTGGGGAACGACAGGACGTCGCTGTGCACGAGGCCAAGTCTCTCGGCGGAATGCGACTCAGAGTCGGGAAAGGGAAGGCGGTGACCTTTGGAACCAAGGCAAGCATTGCAAACAAACTCCTCTACGTCTTTGTCACTGTACCCGGCCCCAAACCCGTCCAGCAAACCTGCAGCAATCATCTTCTGTATAGAGGATGGGGCAAGATGGCCGAGGCAGCGGTGTAGGGTAAGCAGGGGCACGGGAGACTCAGAGCGTGAGAGGAAGGCAAGATGCTGCACTTGGTGTGATCCGCGTCCAAAAGGTAAAGACCGTCGTTGACCCTGGTACCGTGAGCAATGGCCCGGCCGTCCTTGGCGATGTCGATGCCGTCGCTGGTGAAGGCGAGACGAACGCGGTCGGTGTCGCAGAGGCGAGAGACAGAGAGGAGGTTGACGTGTAGGCCAGGCGTGTGAAGAACACCACGGAGCGTGATCGGGTGTCCAGTCTTGGCGACGAATGCCACGTCCCCCATGCCGATAGCCGTGATGCCGCCCGCGATGCCGCCGATCTTGGTGTGTGCCGTCTGACGATAAGTCGTGAATAGAGATCGGTCGGCGACCATGTGTGTCGTGGCACCCGAATCGACTACAAAGGCGTCAGTTGGGAGTTGGCGACGAGCGAAGAGGCAGGAGGCGAAATAGCCGACGTTCGGTTGCGAGGCCGCGGAGGAAGACGTGTCGTCCTGGGTGTCGTCGCTGCTACGTGCCTGTTCACCCCGGTTCTTGCAGTCGAGTGCCCAGTGACCTTTCTTGTGGCATCGGCGGCAGGGGCCGGTGGCGGGTGCTTCGCACGTGAAGTGCAGTCGCGCAGGCGGTGACCGGGAGCGCGGCAGGCGGGGCAGGGGGAGCTGGTGGCAAGCATGGCCGAATGCGAGGTCGAGAGTCCTGCCGAACGAAGCTGGAGAGCAGCGAAGGACTTTAGGCGCGCGGAGTTTAGGCGCGCGAAGCGAGCCTGGGACTTTTTGGCTCAGCCAGGCTCGCTGGCTGTGGAATTGTTAGGGGCTGACCGGGCTATAACTACATCGCTGACGTAGTAGAGTTGATCGAATAGGTTATGAGCCCAGAGCAACCAGCAGGTCATGAGGGGTCAGGCAATTTTGCGCGCATACACTCAGCGTCCCGGCCCCCGCACTTGCCCAGCAGCGTGCCAAGCACCCTGGCGCATCGACAGTGCTCACAGTGCCCAAGCTGCACTTGCCCAAGCGACCTGATCAACATGCCCAGTTGCCTCACAGCCGCACCCACTGCCACAAGCTCTTCAGCTTCGCGCACAGGGGGGTTGAACTTCGCTCCATCTCACTTCTAGGACAATATGCGCTCACTGAAGTAGAGGTGCCTCGCCTTTTGGTGCAGTGGCGCAGGGTTTGGGTGACCATCTTGATCCGATTCTTGCTCGATCCGTCCGTCTCCGGGTGTGTTGACATTCGCAAGACGGTGCCAATCTTTGCCTGCAATGCCCGCCAAAACTGCGAGGTGAACTTGGGATCACGGTCGGAAACGATGGCGGAAGGCATCCCATGCAGTCGGAAGACGGTGGCGTAGTACTTCTCGGCAACGAGCTCCGAGTCGGCATCGGCTGGGAGGGGAATGTCAGGCAAACAGCGATACACTGACAGCAACACTCGAAGGAAGTCCCTGAGGTAATGTGCAGGTAGAGTTGAGGTCACCAAATGCTTCCCTCCATTCAAGCATTGTGGGCGTGATGGCGTAGTCGTTCGGCGTGCGGGCGCGCACTTAATGGTCGCGGGTTCAAGGCGCGCAGAGCGCAATCTTCTCTCGGTTTTTGTTCTTTTTGTTAGCTGAGGCGTGGCCTCAGGGTTTTTACCGGTGCTCCCGCGAGCAATCCTTTTTCCCCCTGAGGCGACCTCTTGGAGTAGCTGAATTGGCTAAGTCCCCTCTGCGCCTGAGTGCCTCCCTTTTGTTTTTAGCACCTTCCCACTCAGCCTGGTCCGCCACATCTCCCAAGATCCCTTCACCTTCATCCTTCGTTTTCGATCTCGTTGGCAATAAAGTCCGATATACTTGACTTGCTGCGAGCCTCACAACCGCGTCACCTCCTCGGTTGTCCCTCGGTCGCCTGCCCCCGCCCAGTCGACCTTCCTTCGGCCTGATCCCCTCCTCCGCGTGTAGTCAACGTCTTCTGAAGAGGACGTTGCCTGCCACTTTTTTCAAGTCCGGCACCGCCAACCTTCGATCTCGCTTGCCCTTGCTCTATCCTGCATCCTGGACGAGCAATCGTCCACTACCCCTGAGTCGTCAGCTTCCTCCCCGTTGCCGAACTCATCCCCCGCTGACGCGTCGTGGTCATTCGCCACCTCATTCACTGAGTCCGACGACGAACGCGTCATCCCTTCGTACCCCTTCTTCCATCCTTCTCGAGCTCGCATCCGTTCTCCCCACAACCGCCAACCGCTACGCCGCGAACTCGCCATGGCCGAACCCACCGACACGTCGCGAGACACCACCGCCCCCGTCCGCGAAGACCCCTCGCGCGCGAATCCGCCTAAGTCCCCGCCGACGCATTCGCCGCACCCGCTCCAGGCCGCCGCCGTCATCACGTCCCTTGAATCCCGCCTCGCAGAATCGGAAGCCCTGCGCCGCGACTCGGAGACACGCATCCGCAAATTGGAGCAGATGGTGGAACGATTGATGAGAGAATCCACCGCACCTGCTGGGGCGCAGGTCGGGGAGGCTCTGCCGGTGAGACCGGTCCCCCTGGACGTCCCCCCGCACACATTTTTGGGACGCCCGGGAGCTGCCGCTGACCCCCTTGCTCGTACCCCTGGGGGGAATCTCACAGCGGAATTAGGGACGGCCCTTCCTCGGCGGTGATTAGCTCTCGTTGGAGAGGGACATTGCCGGACCGGGAAGGGTTATGGACCGGAGATCATCCGGAAAGGTTGGTGATTTTCACTGCGTTTGGGGAGTCGTATCTTTCTCTCTTGTGCGACATCTCCACCTCCGACCTTTTCGACACGAGCCGAGTGATCCAGCTTGTGGCGACGCTATTTTTTCGTACGACAACCCGACAGCGCCGCCAATCCCCGCTCGATTGGGCCGTCGAGGCGATGAGGGACGCGCTTGGAGAAGGGCGCCCTCATTGTTGGACGTCGCTCATGAAGGCAGTGGGACGTCGTTGGCCCGACCCCGGGTTCGCCGATAGAGTGGCTCAAGACTTCCACGGATGTCGCCAGTCGTCGTCTCGGGCTTACGACCATGTCGGGGAGTGGCGGGCGCGCGGTACCGTGCCTTCGTGCACGACAACGATAGTTTCACCCTGTCGCCGCTTCAGCTCGCCACGACCTTCTACCAATCGCTCAGTGACTCCTCCAAGCGGGAAGTGCGGGCGGGAATGTTACGTGAATACCACGACAACTCGCTGGTGACAATTGGGCGATTCGGACTGAAGGTCCCGTCCATCGACGAGATTACCGAGTGGGCCGCTATCGCCGACGACATTTCTCCTCCGCCTTCGGTTCCGACCCCACCAAGCCGCACCGCGACCTATGGCGCGATCGTCAAAGCTCCCCGAGTGAGCCCACCTGCGACCAACACGCCCACCGTCGACGAGAGGTTCCAGATCCGACGAGCTCGATGGGTCGACCGCGCTACTAAGTGGCAGCAATCGCACTTGTGGAAGGACCGCTCCACCTGGTTTTCCCCGGCGCCCAGCGGGGTACCCACCAGCATGGCTTGCTTCAACTGCGGACGAGGCGGTCATTTCTCGCAGCACTGCACCGCGGAGCGTCAATCCCCGGTCGCCGTCCAACTCTCAGCGGTCGCTGTGGCCGACTTGGATGACGAAGAGTGGTCCTCGGTCGCAGGTGGTGACGAGGATCCCGAGGTGAGAGTCCCCATTTCACTCGAGCGTGTTCAGACTCGACCTTTGAGTTCCGTTTCCGCTTCAATGACGCGCCCTTCTTGCCCTCCCGCAGACCCCGTTGGCCGAATGAAAGAAGGGGCTTCTTCTTCAGTCGACGTCGAAGTCTCATCAAGTAATCCGCAGCCAACCGCGCCGGCAAGTGATGCAGATCTACGTCGTCTTGCCGATGACTCGACCGACTCTGCGTTTGACGCGGTGGAAGACGTCCCCTCTTATGCTGATGCCGCGTCGCGAATGCGGCGATACTGGGGGCCGGAGGTGGTGTCGTCGCGCAAAGCGGAGAGGACTGCATCGGTGAGCTCTGTTCGTGTTCCGGTGCCGTTGGGGGTTTCTCTCTTGGAGTCCGACACGCCCCTGATCGACGTCGACGACTTCGCCCGACCCGCCGAGCCCGCGATTGTGCGCGCCCGCAATATTATTGCGTGGACGTTGCCGTCTGGGCGAACGCTGCGTTGCCTCGTCGACTCTGGTTCGGAAGTGGACTTGGTGGATCAGGATGTCGTGCGAACAGACCCGAGTTTCACGACGTCCCGCCTTACCGCGCCGCTGCACTTGCGCCTCGGCACTCGCGACAAATCTGACCGCTGCGCCGTGTTTGCCAACGCCCTCTTCACGTCCGGTTCCCTCGACCTCGGCTTGCGGGCGTTTTTCATTTGCCGTGTGACGGCATATGATGCTATCCTGGGTTTGCCGTTTCTGAAGGACACCGGCATGCTGGTAGGCTGGGGCGTCTTCACCGTCGCACGGCCGGGCCCTTCGCAGCCGGTCGCCAAGGGCATATTCGATCAACTCTACTACGTCAGCGATGTAGTTATAGCCAAGAGATGATAAATGCATTTCAACATACCTATTCGATCAACTCTACTACGTCAGCGATGTAGTTATAGCCAAGAGTGATGAATAGGAAGCTAACAATAAGAGACCCGCGCGCCCCAAGTCCACAGCCAGCGAGCCTGGGGCTGAGCCAATGGCCCAGGCTCGCTCCGCGCGCCTAAGTCCCAGGCTCGCTTCGCGCGCCTAAGTCCTGGGCCGGGGCGCCCGGCTCACTCCGCGCGCCTAAGTCCGCGCCCGGTTCGCTCCGCGCGCCTAAGTCCTGAGCCGAGCGGAGAGTGGATTCCTCACACCCCCCCCACGCGAACGCGAGGTAGACTTGAGCCGTGGATGTCGCGTCCGGAGGCCTAGAGCATAGCAATGTGTACCAAAAATCTTGGGGCCTAGCGCTTTGGTGAATACGTCCGCAACCATGTCTGCTGTGCCAACGTGTGAGAGAGAGATATCACCTCGATTGACCATGTCACGGACAAAATGCTCGCGGAGGCGAATGTGCCGGGTGCCGGAGGTGCGAACGGGGTCGTGAGCGACGGCGGCCGCGGCCTCGTTGTCGGTGAAGATGTGAGCTGCAGCGATTGGGCAAACGTGGAGCTCGGAGAGGAGTTGGTTAAGGTAGATCGCTTCCTTACCCGCGTGCGACAAGGCCAGGTACTCGGCATCAGTGGTGGAATCCGCTACCCGAGTCTGACGCTTCGACGACCAAGAGACAGCGGCGCCTGCCAAGTAAAATACGTAGCCCATCGTTGAAATGGATGTGTCGACGCAGGCGCCCCAGTTCGCATCAGAATAACCAACCACACCCGTGACTTTTGCTGGGCCGCGGGCATAGAGAAGCTCATCGCGGTACGTGGCGCGAAGGTAGCGAAGGACGTGTTTGACGGCAATCCAATGGCGGCGGCCGGGGTTGTTGGCGAACCGGGACAGGTACGAGACGGCGAAGGCAATGTCGGGTCGAGTGCCAAGGGAGATGTAGAGGAGGGAGCCGATGGCCTGTAGGTACCACGAACGAATGCGCTCCGTTCCCTGACCCGGAATTGCCGTGAGCGAGAGGCCGGGCGTCATCGGCACCGTAGTGCCGCGTGTCGTGGTGTCGAAGTGGAAACGGGCCAGCACGTCCATGATGTAGCGCTCCTGGGATAGAGCAATGGAACCGTCGTCCAGGCGGCGTATTTGGATTCCGAGGATGTACTCCGCGGGGCCGAGTCGTTTGACGCCGTACCGCTGTTCAAGGCCGGAGATGACACGTTCGATCTCGTCGAGGGCTGGACTGACAATGAGGAGGTCGTCGACATACAAGGCGATATAGTGAGGCCGCTGCTGATCGTCAATGCGAGAGTAAATGCAGTGATCAGTGCCTGTTGCCTTGTACCCCAGATTCCTGAGTGATGTGTCAATGTGACGATTCCAGATGCGACCGGCCTGCTTGAGACCGTAGATTGAGCGTCGCAGCCGGAGAACCTTATCGCTCGGGAAGTCGAAACCGCGTGGTGTCGTCATCCAGATATCATGATCGAGCTCGCCGTGGAGGTAAGCCTTGTCGATGTCGGCCTGATGAACGTGGTAGCCATTGGCAGCGGCAAGAGCCAGGAGGCAGCGAATGGAGGAGAAACGGGCGACGGGTGCGAAGGTTTCTGAGAAGTCGATGCCGTCGCGCTGTCGGTTACCCTGCGCTACAAGACGTGCCTTCCGCCCCGTGACTTCACCGCTTGCGTTGCGCTTGGTCTTCCAGACGAATTTGGAGGTGACGATGGTGGCGCCCGGCGGTACAGATGAGCGAGGCTCGATGGTGAACACCTTGAAGTCGTCGCGCATGGCGGTGAACTCGGCGGCGGCGGCCTCAGCCCAGATGTTGTGCTCGTCGCTGGACATTGCTTCGCGCCAGGTCTGGGGGTCGCTAGTGATCGATTTGACGGGCTCGATGGCGTCGAGGGTGGGGTCGTCGTCGTCTGTGGCGATGAAGGCGCGGTGGTGTTGGGTGAGGAAATCGATTTCATCCGGCGATTCATCGCGCGAGTGACGCCCAATGATGTCGAGTTCGTCGGGCGACTCCTCAGCCGATGCGGGCTCACGGTACGTGCTGAAGTCTGGGCGGTGCACGTCCGGTGGGCCAAGGCGAGTCGGGGTCTGTGAGCCGATGAGGTCCAGAGGGTCGGCGGAGTAGTCAGAGTCGGTCGGTGAGACCGAGGGTGACGATGACGCTGCCAACGACGGTGACAGCGCAGGCGACGGTGACAAAGGGTTTGTGGGCGACGGTGACGAGGACGGCTCAGGAGACGGTGACGAGGACGATTCGGTATCTGTGGAATTAAGTAAGGTTCCGCCAGTGTACCCTGGGGCCACGTCAACGGCGCTCATGGCAGAATCATCAAGGGAGGATGAGACGTCCATGTGCGCCGACCTTACTAGTGGGGTCCTCGTCTTGACGGCAGGGGCGGGCGTGTCGGCGGGAACGACGAACTGACGGTCGGTGTCGTCTGCATCGACGGGCGTGGTGACTGGCAGGCCGGGGAAGTCGTCGTCGAGGAAGGTGGCATTGCGACCAAGTACAATCTTGTTGATGGAATGGTCAAAGAAACGGAAAGCTTTGGAGGCGAGGTCGTAACCTGTGAAGATCACGCGCGCGGCCTTGGGGTCGAGCTTGCTGCGAAGGTCCGGGGCGACCGTGAGCCAGGCTGTGCAGCCGAACGGGTGGAGGGCGGTGGCGGTGGTGCGTTGGCCGTTCCAAACGGATTCTGGAGTCTGTTTGGCCAAAGCTGAGTGTGAGCACCTGTTTTTGCAATAAACGAAATACGCAGCCGCTTCATCCCAAAAGGTGGCCGGCAGACGGGCGTCCGCAAGGAGAGCGAGGACGCCCTCGACGATGGAGAGGTTGACACGTTCGGCGCGACCGTTTTGTTGAGGCGTGTAAGGGATAGAGTATTGACGACGAATGCCCTTGGATTTGCAGAACTCCGTGAATGCGTTTGATCGGTACTCCCCGCCATTGTCGGTTCGAAGGATCCTCAACCGCGCGTTCGTCTCTAACTCCACTTCGGCGAGCCAAGTCTGGAAGGTCGGGAAAACATCGCTTTTGTGATCGATCGCATATGCCCAGAGTTTGCGAGAGTGGTCGTCTAGAAACGTGACAAGGTAGCGCTTCCCGGTCAAGGACGGAGTGGGGAACGACAGGACGTCGCTGTGCACGAGGCCAAGTCTCTCGGCGGAATGCGACTCAGAGTCGGGAAAGGGAAGGCGGTGACCTTTGGAACCAAGGCAAGCATTGCAAACAAACTCCTCTACGTCTTTGTCACTGTACCCGGCCCCAAACCCGTCCAGCAAACCTGCAGCAATCATCTTCTGTATAGAGGATGGGGCAAGATGGCCGAGGCAGCGGTGTAGGGTAAGCAGGGGCACGGGAGACTCAGAGCGTGAGAGGAAGGCAAGATGCTGACACTTGGTGTGATCCGCGTCCAAAAGGTAAAGACCGTCGTTGACCCTGGTACCGTGAGCAATGGCCCGGCCGTCCTTGGCGATGTCGATGCCGTCGCTGGTGAAGGCGAGACGAACGCGGTCGGTGTCGCAGAGGCGAGAGACAGAGAGGAGGTTGACGTGTAGGCCAGGCGTGTGAAGAACACCACGGAGCGTGATCGGGTGTCCAGTCTTGGCGACGAATGCCACGTCCCCCATGCCGATAGCCGTGATGCCGCCCGCGATGCCGCCGATCTTGGTGTGTGCCGTCTGACGATAAGTCGTGAATAGAGATCGGTCGGCGACCATGTGTGTCGTGGCACCCGAATCGACTACAAAGGCGTCAGTTGGGAGTTGGCGACGAGCGAAGAGGCAGGAGGCGAAATAGCCGACGTTCGGTTGCGAGGCCGCGGAGGAAGACGTGTCGTCCTGGGTGTCGTCGCTGCTACGTGCCTGTTCACCCCGGTTCTTGCAGTCGAGTGCCCAGTGACCTTTCTTGTGGCATCGGCGGCAGGGGCCGGTGGGCGGGTGCTTCGCACGTGAAGTGCAGTCGCGCAGGCGGTGACCGGGAGCGCGGCAGGCGGGGCAGGGGGAGCTGGTGGCAAGCATGGCCGAATGCGAGGTCGAGAGTCCTGCCGAACGAAGCTGGATGCGAATGCGGTCCGTAAGCGTCGTGAGTTCGGGAAGGTCGCGTCGGTTTCGCTGCTCGTCCGTGAACGTGAGTCGGAAGCTGTCGAGGCAAGACGGGACCATGGCGAGCACGTGGGTGGCGAGCACGTCGTTGAGCGATGTTTTGGCGTCGCGTATTTCCTGAGCAATCGACATGGCGACGTACTGCGTTCAAGTCGGCCGAGGCGCATCTTCCCAAAGGCAAAGCGCTGAGTCGTTCGTCGTGTGCAAAACGAGCCTTGAGAGCGGCAAAGATGCGCGGTGCCGACAGGTCGTCGCTGGGGATGGCGTCGAGGGTGGCCGATACGTCGGCGGAGTCGATAGAGCCAACGATGATTTCCCGGGCGGCGTCGTCACGTGCGGCAAGCTGGTCGGCGGTCCAGGTCGGGGGAACGACACCGTCGAGAACGTAACCACGAACCTGGTTCGGGAGTGCAAGACGGAGTTGACGCAACCAGTTGGTGAACGACTTGGGGCCGTCCAGACGAGCGTGCTTGGGAAACACGACCTTGGATGCGGTGGCGGCGTTCCCCGGCACGACGGTGACGGCCGGGGGTGCGGCGGCTGCGGCGGCGGCGGGTTGCGAGGCCTGCAGAGCGGCAAGCTGGGCCTGTAGAGTGGCGATTTGTTCGCCGATCGAAGATTCAGGGGAGCTGGGATCCCTGGGGGCCAAAGGCGAGGCGGGAGAGCTGTCCATGATGTGATGGTGCGATGGACGTGTGCGGCTCGAGTGGCTGGGCTCGAGCGAAAAAACCTCAAGCGGCGGGGCTGGTAGCTCGTGGGCTTATAACCTATTCGATCAACTCTACTACGTCAGCGATGTAGTTATAGCCAAGAGTGATAAATGCATTTCAACATACCTATTCGATCAACTCTACTAC